AGAAAACCTTATTTTTAAGTTTGAATTGTACCAAACTATAAGACACAAACTATTAGATAAGGAGAAGGCCTCCAATATCATGGGCCCAACTTCCAACTAATGGTTAATGTTGTGCAATTCCACATAGTCTAAATTATACAACACTTTTTTCTATTTTATATTTTATCTTTGACATTTTTTTTCTATTTCACCATGTTTTTATTAGAAAATTTTGATATCAAAATATAAAAGAAGCAACTCCTTAATATTATTCATCTAGTACTTTTTCATTTGTCTCTACTCCACTTGTCAAAACATAAAGTTGTGTACGATTTATTATAATTTTTTAGATAAAAAAACAATTATTTTTAAAAAATAAGATAAAAAGTAAATAAATTTCAACCATTTATAGTGAAAGAATAAATAATTAAGATTTTATGCAAGTAATGCATGTAAGAGTTTTATGTAAGTGGATCCTAATTCTTCTTTTATCCCCTTATTAGACCTGGCAAAATTGGACAAATTCCGAAAATCCGATCCAACCCATCCATTATAGGTTAGGTCATGAGTCCTTGATGAATAAGACTTAATATGATTTTATTGGATTTTACAATTTTTTTTTTCAATATTTGTGTAGGATAAGACTTAATTTTGAAAAATGATAAAAATAATAGATTTAGAACCAAATCACAGTGTTTCACAAAATTAAAGGATAAATGAAAAGTGAGATTGAGGAGTAACTTGTAGAATTATGAAATATAGGGACTAAAGTACAAGAATTTTAAAATTTTGAGGATCAACATTGTAATTTTTGCTTTATGAAAACAAACAAAAGTCCATTCAAGAAATAATGATGAGGGTGTCGGCACCTTTCCTTATCCTTTTTTTTTTTTTTGTCCATTTATATCATTAGAAATTAAATTGTAACCCTAGTGCTATAAAATTGGAAAAATATTAAAGAAAAGTCAAGTCAAGTCAAACTTTGTAATAAGAAAGTCTGAAGAAAATTAGTAAAAAATCAAATCTTATTAAAGTTGGTTTGCAATATTATATATATTAGATGTAAACTATTCTTTAATAGGATATCTTCTAAAAAGTTTATTGAGTATTTATTATAAATTTTTTTAAACCAATTGGATATTTACTAAGGTTTTTTTAAATCCAATGAGTATTTATTTAAGAATTTTAAGAGAAATTTTACTATTACAATAATTTTATATATAGTTAAGATTTATTAATATTTGAATAGATTTAATATGATTTTATTTAACTTAATATTTTTTCCATTATTTGTGTAGGATGGGACAAATTTTAAACATCATAAATTTGAAATTAAATCACAGTGTTTTACAAAGTTAAAAGATGAATAAAATGGTGAGATTGGTCAGTAACTTGTAATGTTATTAAATTTAAGGACTGAAGTACAAAAATTTTAGAAAGTTGAGGACCTACATTGTGATTTAGGAAATAAATGGTGAGGGTGGCGGTACCTCTTCTTCTTATTTTATATATATATATATATATATATTTTGTCCATTTACCAAGATATTAAAGAAAATTCAAGTGAAACTCTATAATAAAAAAGTACGAAGAAAATTAGTAAAAAAAAATAAATATTATTAAACTTATATTATACTATTATATATATTATTTATAAATTACTCTTTAATAGATATTTTAAAAAAATTTATTGGGTATTTATTATAAATTTTATAAAGCTCATATTATTTTTATTGATGATTTTTTAAAGTTTAACTGGAATTTATTGAAAATTTTAAAAGAAATTTCGTTGTTATAATAATATTATGAAAAAAAGATACAAATAAAAATATTAATTGTTGCACTCACATCGCTCAGGCTTCAAGGGTACTTGAACCGCCAATCCACGGCAACGCCAACATCCCCTTGAATTCAGTTCAATTCGCTTGTTTTCTTTCACTCTATTGATACCGTGCACTCATCAAAAACCCATCTCACTCTTCCCACAAATTAATTAAAAATCCTCCGTTTCAATGGCTTCTCTGACCCCAATTTCCCAATCCCAATTCCTTTTTAACAAACCCCAGTTCACAAAATCACGACCCCTGAATTTCGCCTCCTGTTCCTTGCCCAAGAATCTTCCCCGTTTGTCGTTTCAATCGGTTAAGTTTAGCAGGATGCCTCCTAATCCCAGAGGTGTTGTTGTTGTGTCGGCTACGGCGGCTGCCGAGAAGTCCAGACGGAGGTACCCGGGAGAGGCCAAGGGCTTTGTGGAGGAGATGAGATTTGTGGCAATGAAACTGCATACCAGGGAGCAGGCCAAGGAGGGGGAGAAGGAAGTCAAGCAACCTGAGGAGCAGACAGTTACCAAGTGGAAGCCTTCTGTTGATGGATACTTAAGGTTCCTTGTGGATAGCAAGTTGGTGTATGACACTCTTGAGGGGATTCTTGAAAAGGCTGCTTTTCCTAGCTGTGAGTGTTCTTATTTTCATTTTTATTTTTTTTAACAACGTGCTTCTATAAGTGTATAGTTTTTTTAAAGGGTTCTCTGCTTGAGGCTAATATTTTATTTAATGAAGTTTTTTCTTGTGTTATTCTGTGATTTTATTGATGTTGTTGCTCTGCCTTTGGTGTTGTAGGCCTTTGTTAAATTTATGTTTGCAGACTTTTCACCATTCCTTTTTAAAAAATACTCACTGACTCACTGGTTGTTTATGGGGTCAGTTTTATGAGGTTGTTGAATACGCCACACATTTGATATTAATGAGGATTGAGTTGTCATGGTAATGTTCTTAAGATAGCGTGAAGTAGAAAACAGGGAAAAACATGGGAAAGAGGCAGGGATCTCTAAGTATGCTACATTTCATTTTCAGAACTAGAATTTTAGGCTATTGGTTGTGAACTTTGAATGTGGAGAAAAAGAGCAGGCTAAAATGCTTCTAGGAGTTCCGTTAAACTCTCTACATATTAGAAGCCCTTATCCCTCCATTTCTTCTTGTGTAATTATTCATAATATTGTGCTTGAACATTAGGCCATGTGTCAAGTATTGTTGTATTGGTAACTCTTTGCTCAATACAAGTTCATGTCATGTTCAAACTTAGATTTTTTTTTGTTAATGGTGGTAGCATCTTTTAAGGAAGTTGGTGTATAATTTGTGTAAACTGCTGGATATGACTTTCTTGAATGACCTTTTTTTTATTAACTAAAATCAAAAAGAGGAAAAGTTAGAAAGATGGACTGTATGACTGAATCTCTAACCATCAGTAACCTAATCCACAGATTTTTGATGACTTTATGCCATTAATCTCCAAGATTTTGGGCATCATGGTGTTATATGTTTGCCAACTACTGCTCATCATGATGTCAATATTCTTGTGAAATATTATATGTAGCTTAAATGTTTTGCTTTTGACTTATCTTGCTCTATTTTGGTTACGGATAAATTTTGCTGGCATGAGACATGAAGTTGCATACTGTATATTGAGAAACTCATTCACAAAGGCTAATTCTTAAATTTTAGTGGGCCTTAATGTGTTAACCAGTTTGATCTTCTTTGGTGTCAAGTGTTAACAGAGGTTTGCATCAGAAGTTTACTCTATGGCTTCTCATTCTTCACCCAGTTGCTTGCTTGTGCTTAATGAGTGTTATATTTTATATATGCTTTCTACTCCTAGATTCATCTTATATGTTGAAGTGGTCTGTTGTTCTCATGCAGATGCTGAGTTCAGAAACACAGGATTGGAAAGGTCTGAGGGGCTGGCAAAGGATTTGGATTGGTTCAAAGAACAAGGTTATGACATTCCAGAACCATCTTCTCCTGGGCGTAACTATGCAGAGTATCTCAAGGAATTGTCAGAGAAGGATCCTCAAGCATTTATATGTCATTTCTACAACATATATTTTGCACACTCAGCTGGTGGTCGTATGATTGGGAAGAAGGTAAAAAAAATTAGCTTCAATTGTGCTTCCAAAATTATATTTGTATGTTATTATCTTCATTACATAAATATAACCTTCATTGATTTCTTAAAAAGATATTCGCCTGTAGTGTTCTACATTCCAGAAATTTATGTGCTCGTTAGTATCTCATGCTCATTTTTAACCAGTGTTGTAAAAAGCTTGCCTAGGCACGGCCTGGGCTCTAGGCGGTGCCATTCCGCCCACATCAGCCTAGGCTCTAGGCGATACCATTCCGCCCGCGGAAATTCAATGCGGTTTGCATCACCCAGATCAATTAAGTACATCCAGGCACTATTAGGCGTGCTTAATGGCACCTAGAGTGCTTGAGCAAATGCTTTTTATTAATATTTTAGCCTAATGAAATGATGTTGTTTAATTTATTATAAAAATTATATTAAAAAAACATTAAATGCCAAGTAATTGCTTTAAATTCTGCTCTTTAGACATAATAATGAATAAAAAAAATTTAAATTTTCCAATTAATTCAACAATTTTAAAAATGGTTTAAAATTTTTTCTTAATCCCCTAAAAATAAAACAAAAAAATAATAATAAAAAAAAAACCCCCAAGCAACAACCAAGCAACCCAAGCCCCAAGCCGGGGGCAAACCCCCACCATCGCCTAACGCTTTCTGCAACCTTATTTTTTAACATGGTTGACTTGTATGCTCTAAAGATTGTGTATACATCAGTGTGTGTTTAGACATACCCAGTAGGCATGCTCATGTCAAGCTACCTCTGGGGACACTTCTCACAATCCATTTAGTTCCTTTTCTCTACCTCTTTTTCTTAGAAACATTTTAAAGGTGACATGAATGGCATGTTGTGGTTTGTGAGCTATACAACTCAAACTGTTACTCCTTTCCATTGGATCAGGTAGCCGAGGAGATACTAAACAAAAAGGAGTTGGAATTTTATAAATGGGATGGGGATCTATCCCAGCTTTTGCAAAATGTCAGGGACAAGTTGAATAAGGTTGCTGAGGTAATTATATTTCGAACTCTTGCACAGTTTTCCTGTAAATTTCAGTTTCTTTTTTCCTCTAATTTATGTCTTCGCCACTCCAAAACAAAAAATAAAAAGAAAAGAAAAAATCATATCTGCAACATGTTAATAGTACCTTTATTATTCTCTTTTGTTTACATTTTACTGATAACCAATACATGTTTGCTTGTATATTTACTCAGAGATGGACAAGAGAAGAGAAGAACCATTGTTTGGAAGAAACTGAGAAGTCATTCAAGTATTCAGGAGAGATCCTCCGACTAATATTGTCATAACGCTTGTAATTGCCATGTGATACTGTTAGTGGCACAAGCTAAAATGCCATCTCAATTATAATGCTTTTCCTTTTCCTTGTAACTACCAATTTCCTTGAAACATTTGATTGCTTCACCATCTGTAATCAGAACTCATTCAAGGATTTGAATAAATCACAGATATTATACATTTGGCCAAGTAATTATATATGCAAGTTTTTGATTTTGTCCATCCTAACTGTGTATTGTTCCAACTTTTAATGCACCTAGAAAGTTGACTTGAGTTAGTGACATTGTGCATTTGAAAATAGTTTCCTTGCAGCACCATACTTTAGTCGATGTTTGCTGGTAGAAGCTTTGCTAGCGAGTAGGGCTGTAATCGAGTCAAACCAAGTACCTCCAGTACTTGAGTCTGGGCAGCTCAAGCTTTATCAACTTGAGTAGTCTGCGAGTCACTTGTGAGCTTTCATGTAATTTAAGATTATATTATAGAAATGTATATATTTATTTTATTCTAATTGGGCTCATCACCAGTAGCTCGATAATATTATCGAGTTCAGGATAAAACTGGAGCTAATTTGCAAGTACTCAACATAGTTGCAGCCTTGGTAGCGAGCAAGGGTGGTATCAGTCTATGATAAAATTGCAAGGAGGAGGCAACTAAGAGAAGGTTTGCCTGCAGTGATGTAGAAAATAATCTTATTACAAACGTCATTTCAATGTTATTACAAACATCAGATTAATGGAAGTGAGGCATCTGCATCAGATCAAACTCTGTAATTCATGCTTGGATTCGGTATGTTTCAATTGAAAGAAGATAAAGGTACTATTTTGCCTTGAACAGATTTATAATTTGTTCACTGATCGGGTATTGCCTTTGCTCAAAATGAGTTGAAAAGTGCTACTGCTGAGAACTTTTACTACATTTTTTCAGGATGATTCCACACCCCACGGGGACATAAATCTGAATGATTTAGGATGGACAGCTTTTAAAGAAATTCAAAGGACAACCCGAAGCAATAGAGTTGATACAGAAATATAACACAAGCTAAACGTTATGGATTAGCGCTGCTGAGTGCTGATCCAGTAGTGTCTAAAATGAACATATGGCAACTAAAATACAAACACAGCCTTTCTGAACGTGGAGATGTAACCTTTACTCTTCAAAAAAGAAAAAATAATACAGCCACAGCCTATTGGAATTGATTTAGGTGGTTAAATCTTTAGAATCATGCTAAAAATGTGAGTTTAAATTCCTCACACACCATTTATAAATAATTTTAATGAACTATGTTGAGTATGTTCATTATCTTTGAAGATAGAGATTTGTTTAATATTTATAGGAAAAGTGATTTGCAAACATATATGAAATTAATCTACCATAAAAAATATATAAATAAAATTAATTAAGTCAAAGATTTAGATATCCTAATTATTTAAAAAAAAATCACAGCCAACAATTATAAACAACTAAAAGATAAACTAAGGTCTTATATACATACATATATATATATATAAACATAAATAACCCTTAAGAATTCGAGGGGGACGAAACCCCTCCCAGAGGAATTAAAAACGTATTGTCGCAAATTCTTCAAACTTTCAATGGACCATAATCCCCTTTCAATTTCAACTTAAATCAAACATATTGACTTTCCGCAGCTGACATGATTGTTGGCAGCATAAAGGGAAGACACAGCACATGGTCTGATGGAACCTTACTGTGATAGAACCTTACTGACGGGAATTGTAGCTACTGAATCCATCCTCCACAATGTCAACGGTGTTGTAACCGAGTTCAGTAGCAATGTGCCTCAGCAAAAGGCCCTCATTGTACTTCACATCAGTAATTGTTTCGGATTACTCTTCCAATCATTATTGGAGTGATTCCCTTTCTTTAGAAATTTGAGCAACAGGTCCCAGCAAGGTCCAGAGTTGGGAAAATCAGGTTTTGAATTTTGTACCATTTATATAATTACAGTTATAGACAACTTAAATCAGATTAAAGAATTTTAATTTGCTTAAGTTAAAATTCAATTAGAAATGCCTCATCCATCACCTTTATAATGCACATCCCTGACTTCAAAGTTATCCAAAGACAAGAAAAAGGAAACGTATTATTCAATTAGTAACAAAAAAGAACATTACCTAAAATTCAATTTGAATGTTAATCCATAACGGAATTGTCATTTACTACGACCTGACTTGTTCTATTATTTGCTCATACCACTATCTCATTTTATCATTTATTTGTAAATCTAACATGATCCTTTGGTACAACATTGATTTCTAAACTATTTTAAAAGGAAAAACAATAAGACAACTGAGATTGAGACTGACAAGAAACATTAATGGTAAATTTTAAATTAATGGGAAATAACAGAGCTCTTCGCAGGCCAGAAGGCAGGTCTTACATGAAGGAAAAAAAAAGGAAGGGCAAATGTTAATCCAACTTATAGACATTAAGACCCCAGGATGACCAAATTTTACATCTAGTCATCAACTGTGCTCATGAATCCACCCATAAAGCCAGCTCCATTGCAGTTCCCACACAAAATCTCTCGTTTTCCCCTGCGTAATATATATCCAGCGTCAATGCTGATATTTGGACAGCATATACATTAGACAAAAATACCAAGTGTTGTAGTGGAATGTCAATGTTTAAAATGAAGCATCCAATTGACTGTAACCTTGGCACAATATGCTAGTGGAGAACACAAGGTAAGATATGCAAAGCATGAACAATACTCATTTCCCTCCAATGTACTCTTGGCATAAGATGGACAACAGTGTAAAGTTCTAAAAAAGGAAAGCAGTAACAATAGATCAACAGGTGCAAGTTAAGTGAAGCAAAACATTACAAACAACCTATAAATTAAGTAAATGAATGTGGAATGGGGATAGGAGCATGGAATCTAAATGAGAGTAAGCCATGTTTTTGATCGGCTGAAAGCTAATAATTTTTCCATTGCTACAAGCTATAAGCTACGTAAGTTCTTATATAGAAGCCTTTAGACAAGTAGAAATCAATTTTTGAGACATTTGTATAATCTTGTTTTCCCTTTTTCCAGAGCTCTCTGGTTTGAGAAAAGTGAAAATCAAGACGTTTTGACATTTTAAATGCTTGGACCTCCTATGAAATTGTTCAAATACCCTTGATAATCTTTTTTGCATGTTGATTCATTAAGGGTATTTTAGTCTTTTCATTATTGTTCCCGACATTTTAAGTGCCAAGATGCCCTGATTTTCCTTAATCTCATCTAGTTTTCACAAATGTAAAATTTATGGTGAGTGGTTGGTTCAGATTTTAGATACGTTTTAAGTTATAGCCATTTGAACATTACCTACATAAGATATCATTTTTTAAACAAAAATTGCAACCTTCCAGAATTCATTGTGCTGTTATTGATGGGTAACCTAAGAACCAAACTTGGAGACCTTGCTCAATCCCTTAATGCAAAATGCAGAGGAGAAAAGAAAATGAAGAGAAGAAACAAGATGATTATTCTTTGAAGACAATCAGACAAATATGATGTGTATGACATTGATTTAACATAAGAAGAGAAGGTATAAGGAACCTGCAAAGCCAACAAAGCCCACCAGCTTTAAACTGCCCATTGAAGTGATCTACAGAATTAACTCCAGTACCTTTGCATTGAGAACATTGTTTGGCACCTGGTTGGTGGATGCGAAAAGCATGTGAGTTATGATTATTTGTTGGTAGAAGTAGCAACAAGAGGTATGATGTAACAGGTTAGAGCACTCCTTGTACTCTCAGTAATAAAAATTGTATGGCTGATGAAAAACCAAAAAAAAAAAAAAACTGAGTTACAATGAGTTGCTGGTAGAAGTAGCAACAAGAGGAAAATTTGAAATCTGGAACTTACAGTTTCATAAAAAGATTGAATATGAACAAAAAATGCTAAAGTACTCCCAGAGATCAGACATAAAACTCTGGGAATTGAAGTTTAAAGCATCATTTTTAGGCCAATATTTGAGGTTCTGTATATTGCCTCAGCATATCTAGCAATACATTGCTTCTCTCATTCATTTTTAAGCTATTCTATGGGGAATGATAAAAATATTAAGACAACCAAAATTTTTTTTTTGGAAAATGATTGAGGGACAACCTTTTTGTACTATCTTTTTATACAACTTTACGTGTCATTTAAATTATTGACTCTTTTTATTCATTTGGGACCCGTGATATTGAGTGCATACACTCATTTAATAACATGTTGAAGTTGTATAAAAAGGTGGTACAAAAAGATTGTCCCTATCACTGTACTTTTTTTTAAAGGGAAAATTTAGAAGCTGAGCCCCACCCGCTCAAAAAATTAAAAACTAAAAGAGATTAATGGGTATCAGCCTGTAAAAAATTAGGTGGAAAAATGCCCCAAAACTATATCGTTTTAATAAACCACAACGAGAAAAGACTAAAACAACCTCATTCCTCCTTTTAAAATTAGGGTATTTTAGTCTTTTTCAATGAAATTTTATTAAAACGATATAATTTTGAAATATTTTTCTACCTAATTTTTTGCAATACAAGCTAATACCCACTCTTCCAAAACTAAAAAGCTGAAATAATAATAATGAATTTAACATTTCTTTCCTTACCATTTCCATCACATTCAGGGCAAACAATGCTATTTATTTTGGTGCTTGAATTGCTATCTGTAGCCTGTAAAACCAGAGACAAAGTAAATTTGAAGGCAAAACATTACAAAGAACAGTAAGAAAAGATTTACTTGCTCCAGTGCACTCCCAAGTTAACTTATTTCATGTCCACCTCATTTGCATGTTCTTAGACAAATCCGCTGTTCATTCATTTTAATCTCTATTCATGCCATTACCAAGAAAAAAAATGAAAGAAAGTAAGAAAAGAAAAAAAAGAAAAAAGAAAAAAAGAAAAGAAACAAAGAAAGAAACAAAGAAGAAAGAACTCCCATACAAAGCTAGAAGCCTCAGTCTCCAAGCATTTAGCCTCTAGCCTTTAGCCTCTAGCCTTTAGCCACAACAAGTCCAATTCTTGCCATCAAAATGCACTGAAAAGTACACAAAAATCATTTGTCTGCCTTCTCTTCCAATCCAATGAGTTAAAAACAACCCACAATTTCTTTCATTCTGATTCCAGGCGGATCAATATTGACAAAGATAGTTACTCATATGTCTTGCCTCGGCTGTCCACCAAACCATAAATTTAAATCTTGCATCTATTGCCTTATTTGCCCAATTCCCTATCTGTTGTTTTCTACAACAGGAAGCATTCCAGAATCCAATCCTAGATAACAGAAACGATCATTCTAAGATATTCCTCAACCACCTATTCAAATTAAGCCTACCTTCTACTACTGCTTCACCAAACCCTTAATGGCAAGTTCTGCAACAGACTGGTAAACATCCTGCAGAGTTCCTAATTCCCATTCCCCTAAAATGGGGTTGAACTTAATGTTAAAATTGTTTAACTACTTCCCTCAACTTTTCAATTTTAGCCAAAAGGGGCACCTTAAAGTTCAGATGGATAGCAAAAAACACTCTCACCTTAACTTCCAAAGATTGAATTCTGGCACTTCTAGAGGTCTTGCACACTTCAGTTACCCGAAGAACCTTTCGTGCAACAGAACTATCAATAATCATCCCTAAAACAATACAAAAGAAGCAAACTTAGCTATTTTTCACTTGGGACCAAACTGACATCATATTCACATAGCAAGACATACACTCGTACATAGAGGTGGAGGGAAAGACATTTATAATATACCTGGTTTAGTGGGACATTTGAAGGAGGAGCAAACAGGAGTGAAACAAACAGAATTTGACATTTTCGGATTCTTAGAACAAAATTTGCTGACTTCGGACTTATCAAGAAGAAAAAAGTAAACTTCAACCGTCAAAGTTGTGGTATTTAAGTTCTTGGTGTCAATCGAAGATGGATAAGGCTAAACGGGTGATGATAATTTTCATCAGCTGACCAAAATGCCCTTCAAACAGCGAGCTATTTAGGCCTCTCTTCATTGCAGAAACAGGGTCAATCACGTCAACATGAGTTTCTTAAATCCAAGATGTTTTTTTGTACTTATATTATTTTTTTAATGAAATTGTCTGCTTTGTGGAGTTTGGAGAGCAGAAAAGCAGAAAATGGCCAGTGCTCTCTTGCTGACTGCTACTCCTCTTCTGCCTTCCCGGAGTAAGCACTTCCAGGGTGTAATATGTAACCTTGTGTAAAGTTTAATTCTTTCTTTTAGTTTGTTAGAATTTAGTGAAAAGAAACTCGTGGGTTTTGACGGGTAGAATGTAGTTTTGTGTGTTGATTCAATGGGAGTAAGAAACTAATAACGTGATTGTTTTAAACAGAGACCCAAGTAAGGGGATTCATGAGAAATTTGGGGACTTCATTCCATGGCCAAGTGATGTTTAATCGAAGTTCTGCAAGAAGGGAGTTTAGTAACACTGGTGGAGGCCGATTTGTGGTTGCTTCAGTGGTTTATATGCTACATCCTTCTTCGTGGATTTTTACTTGATATTAGTTTTTTGTCTTATAAACCTAGTTTGACTTTGACCTTGTTACTTGATTGTTTATGTGACATCGTCTTGGCATGTATTTCCGCTGCGAATTTTGGATTCTTAAATTGCTTTTAGGTGGATGTTTGAAGTTCAACATTTTGTGGCTATATTTGAAATCTTTAAATTGCTTTTGGATGGATGTCTAAAGTTTCAAAATTTGGAGGTAACATGTGAAGGGGGTAACAGTTTAGATGGAATTGGTATATTTATGGGTACACGGATGAATTTGGATATGGTTCTAGTTCGTCCTTTTTATCCTGTTAATCTTAATGTCTAATGATTTGCAGCTTGGAAGGAGGGTCAAGAAGACAGAGACAGTGATTCCAGAACCAGATTATCGGATACCGATTGTCCTGCTTGGTAGGTACTGAGTGCTTTTATGATTCATGATCTCTTGGGATATTCTAATCAATGAATGGTACTCAGGACCTGCCCATAGAAGGATATTGAATGATGCTGAATTGGAATTCCCTGAATGAATTTTGTTTAATTTTCTAGAAGGTATAATCATAACTAGCTGTAGTTCCTGAGCTGATTCACGTATCTATATTTTGAGATGTAGCTAATATGTTAGAAGCTTTTCTTTGAATTGCGTTACCCTAAGCTTGGATTATCCATTTGTTGGCTTTTTGAATGCAAAGAGCCATGGAATTTGCCAAGTATCCATCTTTCTAAATTTTAAACAAAATATGTTGCTTAATCTGCTAAGAAATCAGTTACTATTTGACCATTCAGACATGGACTTTGTTAAATGAAACAGGTCTTGCCGGTGGGCTTGCTTATACCAATAATCTTTTACCAGCGGCACCTGTTGGTCTACTTGGATTACTCCTATTGTTCCAGGTAACAGCATCTAGGAAGAAAGCTTGTCAAACCAAAAAGTAAAAAACTGTAGAAGCAAGAAGTAGAACTCTGAATTCAAGCATTTTAAGAAGGAAAACTTTTGAACTTTGAGAAGCTTGATACCCTTGAATGCATTGAAATCAAACCACAGATGCCCTTGTGACGGGATCTTTAGTCAATAAGGATCAATTGACGAGTTCTCTCCCATCTTCCCACATGTTTTGGCTTGTTTAAAGAGTTAACTTGGTATTTAACTAATATACATTCTGCTTTCTGTCATTTTCTCCACTTGTTAAATTTTTTCCTTTTAAACTGCTACAAACTGACTCTTTTTTCCCTTCTAGACAACAAGAGTGAGATTTGTCTTTGACGATGAGGCTCTGGTGAGTCAATCTTCCAGATGAGTCCAATATTTGGAAACAATAGAATGAACTTTTATCAAATTTATCATCTCTACAAGAACTTTTGTGTCCTTGCAAGTGTGCATTATTTAGATATTTTCAGAATTTTTTGAATGTTTAGCTTCTAAGTGCCCTTTAGGCTAGGCTCTGTTTGGTTGGCTTAGGACATTTTATTAGTTCCAAATAGCATCTGCTTTGTTCAATCTGGATAACTTTGCTTCTAAATATTGTACATGTTAATGTACAGCTTGTGTAAGATTTTAATTATTTTAGCACCAAAAAATTTGATGTCACTTATATGTGGAGTCCTTTGATCCAACTTGTACCTCAGCTTGAATACAAAGCAAAGACTTCCTGTGAGCCACTTCTATGTGTGCACATTTGCACATGTTGTATGTCTCTTAGACATACCATGAATTTCAATGCTTGGTTTACAGTCATCATTTATTGAATGCCATTCTGAGACTTTTGAGTCACCTTTCACAAGGATCCTCATAAAGTTTACTTGCAGAACTATGTGAAAACCTAGACATGCGTATTACACTCTCCTGCTTTATTTGCTGATGAAGCTAGTCACTGAAATTCATTTTACATGTAACATTTACGTTTTTAGGAGGTAAAAGTGGGAGATCAACTTGAGGAGTCAGGCGAAAACATATTTGTCGGTGGAAAAAACCGTTGGAAGTAAGAACTGAAATACTCATTTCTGCTGTTTTTCACTTTCAGGAAAAGGAGCTCACCTGGTTATTTTGTTACAGGTACTCAACATTTGTGAACTGGGAACTGTGGTGGCCAAATTTCCCTATTTTGGTATATTTTAAAGAGACACAAACAAAACCTGAAGGACAAGTTCACTTCTTTCCTGTCATTTTTGTAAGTCAGCAATTATAAGAAACAGAAATTTACTCAAAATCAAGGGAATACTTGAACTGGCCCATGTGGCTTGATGGTTCATGTCCTGAGTAAATAGAAAGATCTTCCAAGTGGTTCTAGCTGCACTTTGTGGGGTTGGGGTTGGGGTTGGGTGGGGGAGAGGGGCGTGTATGGAAACTTTTAACATCTTTTAACTGCACTTGGCATTCAAGTTTCTGATAAATTCAAAATAAATAGGAAGTTGATTGTTCAGAGACTTGAATTTTTTTTTTTTTCCTGACTTGGGTCTTGAACATTTAGGTCTGGCAATTCCTCTGGTGAAATCCTTGACTGATGTTGATTTTCTCCTGTCTAAATAGAATGGCAAGCAACTTTATGATGTAATGGTGGAGAGAGCTGGCCCTTCAAAAACCAGTGGGCCAAAAGAATCCTGAGTGCCCCCAGCCTTGTGGGCGCAGATATCTGAGATTGCACGTTCAATCTTAAGGTATGACTGCCCTCAGATTTATATTGTAATGTTATGTGTGTTATGATTGAATTACACTTCCAAAGTACCATCTCCTCTCTCTGAAGCCATGCCTCGATTCTTTTAGCAGAGTAACCAAATGTTGATCTTATGTGTATTGTGATTGAATTACATTGCCAAAAGTACCATTCCCCATCTCTAAAGCCATTTCTTGATTCTTTTTGCAGGATAACCGATATTGGTAGCTAATTCCTTTACCATTGTACTCAATACATTGAGGTATTGTTGTATCTTACACATTTTGTAATACAGTTAATTTGTAATATGTTGCTCTAATAAACATTTCTTTTTTATGCCAGTTCAGCTTGTAATACAGAAAGAATTGAATAATTTTTCTGAGAAAGACAAGTAAAATTGAAGATCAGTCAATATTTTCATTGGATGTAAACAATCTTGGATAACATTTGTAAATGGTGGTGAGTCTCATTTGGCAATTCTCAATTTTCCTTGGTCTCTGTTGAGTAGAAAAATCATACATTGAAAATATTATAAAGAATTATGTGGTTTAAACTTTAAATACAAGAAATGTTAGTCTTCCTATGCCAATTTTTAGTTTCTTTTCCACGGTTAGTATTTACGTTTCATGTGTTTTCAATTGCTAGTACACTATTGTCTTTTTCTTCCCATTATTAGACTATCTTCAAAGGAAAATTCTAAGATTTGGAGCAGATCTTGGGTTTGAAGCTAGATGACCTTTAGTTTTCATTTTTCTTCTCAGTCTATTCCAATATAGAGTGGTCTTCTCCTGTTATTCCCAATTGCTACATTGATACATCTCATGGGAGATCAGGCTTAATTGGCAATTTGGGGGTTGTCGATCACAGAGGTTTTGTTTGTCTGGAGTTTTTCAAAGTCATTCACAATCATATTTGTGAGTTTTTTCTTTTGTCCCTAAGTAGTGTCTCAATTGGTTAAAAATTTGATATTTCAATTTAAAATTTTAATATTTGAATCTTAAATCAAGTAGAAAAAGATTTAAAAAATGCAGAGGGTTATATTTCCTGTTGTATATAATTCTTCAAATGTACCGAGAAAAAATATTTGTGAGTTTTTTGCACTTGAACTTCTAACGTCATTCGGCAAAATGCACATCTTTACATCCAAAGGATATATCAATCAATAAGAGTTTAAGACTTTAAGTCCAAGGTCTTAATTCTTAAATTATATTCCAAGTTAGAAGCTTTAATTTTAAAGTTGAAATGAATGAGACAGGATTTGGTGAAGTTAAGGGACCATTCCCTTGTTTTATTTATTTATTTATTTGACGTATTAGAGCTAATGGTTGAATTTGTGGGAGAATGGGAGTGAGTATGGAGAGCATATATTTGAACTCTTATGATGGGGAAAAAGGCTTTATAATAACGATAGGCCAAAGCCCTTATTTGCGCTCTCCATTTAATTTTTTTTTGTGATCAACACCTTTCAAAAATTTTTCTTCCTATTCGACCCTTCAACTTTTCAAAACCCATGAAAAACCCAATATTTTAACCCACCGTCACGGCACCGTTAAAAAATATATTACGTGACACTCAAAAATTGACGTGGCACTATCGACGTTAGTAATCCAATGTGGATCCCTTTTTTTGATGATGTGGTTTATTTTCTGCACACGTGGACACCCCACACGTGGACACCACGTGTACAGTCAGAGCAACAAAAAATTATAATATTACCAAACAGTAACAAAAATGGCTACAGTCAGAGCAACAAAAAATTATAATATTATCAAACAGTAACAAAAATGGCATTTCTTCATCTTTTTCTTTCCCCCTCATCCTTGGCATCATCTTCACCATCCTCCATCTTCACCATCCTCTTCTTAATGGGTTCCTTGCGGGGAACCCAGATAATCCTCTTCTCAATGGGTTCGTCGCGGGGAACCCAGTTTTGGGTTCTTGCGCGGAACCCAGTTTCTAGGTTCCGACCCTTTTTTTTTCATTTTTTTATTTTGAATGTATTTATCTTAGTTTCCTATTTTATGCAAAGCAATTTAGAATAATTTTTTTGTTGGAAATGTGAGTTTTTTTGCTTAGACATTGTTTCTGAACAGGTTGCCAATTTGATTTTTTTTCGTTTTTTGTGGGAAAGGGGTAAAAGATGCTTATCATGTTTTTATGCAGTATTCATTTATTTATAATTTTGTGGATGAAAATCTTAGCTTGGTAAGCATTCATGTGAAACTAGGTTCCACGAAGAACTCAGAACCTAGGAGGATGAGGATGGTGAAGATGATGTCGGACAAGAAGAAAGTGAAGAAATTAAAATTAATTATGATTTAATTATAACACATTATAAAAAAAAAAAGGTCCAACATTGGATCAATAAATGTGACATAAAGTCCTCGGTTCTGGTTCCATGAGGAACCCAGGAGGATGAAGAGGAAGTTGGTAAAGATGATGTGGGAAAGAAGAAAATGAAGAAATTAAAATTAATTATGGTTTAATTATGCCACATCATCAAAAAAAAAAGTTCACATTGGATTAATAAGATGACATAACGTTTATATTACTGTTTAATGTCACGTATCACAATTTTTAACGGCTATTAATGATGCCGTGATGATGGGTTAAAATATTGAATTTTTCTCGGATTTTAAAAAGTTGAGGTTGTGAATAGGAAAAAAAAATTTTGAAAGATGTTAACCACGAAAAATAATTAAATGGAGAGTGCAAATAGAGGCTTTGGCCAATCATAGTCACTAACTATCAAGGCTCCATGGCTATACTCTTGTTATATATGATAAATATCATTATCACATGCATTAAAAAAATTTTACATCGAGATTAGATGAGTTCGAATCCCCTACATCCAAGAACAAAAAGATTTATTGGGAATTAGGATTGTTTCAAGTTTGTTTTGAATTCTTCAGCTAGGTTCTGTTTTTACATCAAAAGAGCTAGGAAGTTCAATTTTTCTACCTTGTGAAAAAAGAAACTTACACAAAAGATAATGAAAGAAATTGTTGAACCTCATTTAACTATTATGAGCGCAACCACTCCCACCTAGCCATGTTTAGGCCAAATTCTCTCCTTAAGAGTTTTTTCCTCTCCTCTCACTAGGTGCCCTCTTTTTTCTTTTCTCTCTCACCTTGCAACCACCCTTCCTTCTATCCCTCGCTACTTTTCCAGCCCATGGTAGATCCTTAAACTCACAGATTGTCCTACTTCCCAGACTTCAAGTCACACCTTGTTCTATTTCTTATACTCCAGATTGCGACAATTACCGTTGCCAGACAAAAGTGGTAGCTGCAGCGACGGTGGCAGTCCCAAGCGCAAGAAGCAGATGATGTTGGCTCCCTCTTGGGTCGAACTTCGTTAGTGGAGGGAAACTTCATTCTCTTCTTCGAATCCAATTGGAATACATCTGTTCTCTCCTTAGAATCTTTGTGCTTAAGAGGCAAAGTCCATGCGGAGTTCAAGTAGAAGAAGTGGGGGAGAAAATCTTACTATTTCATTTAGCTAATGGCTTGGATAAAGTTCTCCAAAAATCTCCATGGAATTTTAATCAATCTTTGATAATTTTGAAGAGATTTGACAAATCAAAAGCCCTAGAGAACTGTAATTTTTCAACCTGCTCTTTTAGGGTTCAATTTTTCAGACTCCCATTTGAGCTCCACGGTGAACGAGTTAAAAGATTGGGAACTCTTTAGGCACAATCTTGGAGGTTGATGATTTGTTTAGTAGGGCCTTGAGAGTTGAGTTCGGATTCGCCGATATGTCAATAAACCATTGAGAAGGTTTTATAATGTGAAAATCTCTGCCTCAAAGAATAGAAAACTGTAAGTCAAATATGAATGACTACTAGATTTTTGCTTCCTATGTGGTTGCATGGGGCATGTAGACTCTGATTATAAAATTGGATTCAAGATCTAAGATGCAGGAGAAAAAGTCTCTAAGCTTTATGGTTCATGGTTGTGGGAAGAGGATGCAGACTGGGGACTAGGGGTATTTGAGAATATGGTACTCTTGGATAGCAAGTTAATGTCTCGTCCACAAGCAAACCCTTCTGCAACTCGAAGGATTAGAGGTAAGTCCCCTAACGAGGCTAAATCCTCTGTAGGTAATGAGCTATCTAAAGATGTAGTAGTAGCAAAAAGACAACTTTTTGATAGCGGTATGGTGTTAGTAACAAAGCAGGATCACAGCTCAGAATAGAATGGTCAAAGGGGAAAAAAGTTGTGCAGTCTGAAGAATGGACATCACCTTAACCAACCTCAAATTCTATCTTTGGAGAGGTTACCTTGCTGTAGCTAGCTAAAATGGTAAAGAGAAGGGGCACAAGTTCGAGGAAGACGTGAAGGAGGCTTGGTCGGAGGTTGTTGATGTCCTCAGGAAAGGAGTAGAAAGTAAAAGGAAAATCAGCCTTAGAGGAGCTAGAACGTAATGGAGCATCAAAGGTTTTGCTTGACAAATCAACGACTGTTCTTGCTATGCAAGTGGATGTTGTCCATCCATCTATAGGTTAACAGTAGGTAGTTACTGGCAAGCAAGGACAGAGCTAGGATTTGATTGGGGGGGCGGGGGGGTGGGAGGGTGGGGCGCAAAGCTTTTTTTAAAAGTAGAGATGAAACAGAAGCTCGATAAATGCTCTAAAAGGGCAATGGCAATGGCAAGGAAAGGATATGTGGCCTTAAGAAAATTTGACCTTAAATGTTTATACTTCTTTTATTAGTAGAAAAAAAAAAAAAGCTTAGATGTAAATCCATATATAAAAAAGGCATAAAGTGATTATACATAATAACATCAATCTCATATGAAAAAAATAAAGAAATTATATTTATTGTATAAAGCATATACGTTCTTTTAAATTTGAGTGGTTATAGTAAATACTTTCTTATTAGTAAATTTAGCATGAGGTAAAAAAAAAAATTTTGAAAACGGGAGAAAAGATGGTCATATTTTATAAACAATTAAAATTTGGAACAATAAATTATATTAAATTACAAATCGAAGAAAATGGTCTAACATCTATCTAGGACTTTTCTAGGAAACATAGGAGCGAGAGAACAAATGTCAAAAGTTTAGAATTTTTTCTGTTATCAAATTAAGAGATTAAAAAACTTTTCTAATGTTTAATGAGTCATCCTTAGAAAACTCACTAATTATTATTTCCACAATTAACTTGAATTTAATTACTAGAACTACAAGAACAAATTAAAAGTGTTTATTATCATAAATGTAAAAAAAAAAATTAGGGATAATAAATATTTTTTTTTAATTTGTGTCTTAAGAGTGTAATTAATACACCTTCTAATCTTTAATTTACATAGATAAATGGAAAGACTAATATTAATATTAATTTTAGTACCAATACCACTTAAATGATTTTAATTAGATGGTTCATAAATTAAAAGTCAACTTCTATTTTTTAACATAAATTAATGATTAAAAAGTATATTAATTACAAGTTAGGAAAACCCTAAATGAAAAGTATAAAGATGTGGGACTAAAACATTTTTTTAACAAAAGTCCAAGGGGAGTGGCTGCCCTCCTTGTCTATACATGGCTCTATTACTGTTGACGAGGCATTGTAGTAACGAGAGATGCTACATTACTACGCCTTCTACTTTGGAAAGAAGCTTTATAGTATATTTATTAAAAAATTATTTTTTTTAAATTAAAATTAAAATTAAAAAAATTTAAAATTATAAATTTTAATTATTATACCAATAAATATTGAAGGATATATTAAACTAAAAAATATATCAATTATTTTCTCTTTTATTAATATCTTGGACTTTTTGCATTTAATTCCCTACATTTGTCATGGATAACGACCCTTTCAATTAATGCTATAATTAACTTTCTAGTGTTTTTATACTTCTTTCCTTAAACCATGTGGCATAACATGGGTAGAACATAAAAATTTTGTTTTAATAAAACTATGCAATTCTTATAAAAAAAAAAAATTAAAAAAAGGATAATGAAAGAAGAATGCTTTAGAAAGTAGAGAGGCTCAAGGCCCAATAAACTACTGGCATCCCGTTTGAAACCAAACTGTACTGAGTTGACTGCATAAAATAAGCATTCTCAAACCCCATTTTCTTCTTCATTGAAACACTAGACGAATGAGACTTGAGATTTGAGAAACTGAAGTAAACCTTTGTATCACACTATCACCAACATCCTTTTTTGGCTATTGTATGAATACAAACTTGATCCAAGAAGCAACCAAATTGCATAGTTGACCAAGGGTAAAGACGTGCAATCTAAAGAAAAACCAGTTAGGTTTTGATTTCCGTGGCAAAATTTGGTGCTTACAATCAGCTCTTTGTGCAATGAGCATCTGTACCATGCTGCGTGCAATGTGTATAACCCACACCATAGAGAAATTCCCGTATCTCTTTGGCACTACTATTGCTCGCTTGCAGCAGACGCTCATCTTCCTCATAGATTAAGTATGGGGCTTCACTTTTCTTTCTAGACAGCAACTTTTTGGCTCCCTTCAATACATGATATTCCCATCCTTGAACATCTATTTTAAGCAGAAGTACCGTCTCTGACTCTGGGATTACATCATCAAGAGGGATAGATCTCACTTGAATTGCTATTTCTTCATTGGATTTGAATGCCAGTTTTGCACCAGTGGCTGAAACAGCACTATTGTCAAGCCGGCCAACTAACTGGTATCATCCAGAAGGATTTGATATCATTAGCGCAGATGATAGAAGTATAAGAGTAGTATTACAAGCACATTCTGAGTTTTCCTCAAGAAGAAATATTGGGAATCAAACACCAATATAAGCTAGAGCAGGGAAATTTTCACAAGAAAAAAAATGGATAATGAGAATGCTATATAAACAGATTACTATTAAGCAGCATCTAAATCTCTTCTAATGAAAATCGCAAACATATTATCAAGTGATTCACAAAGTTCATAGAGGCTTTGCCACAGTTCATCCAGCATCTATGCAAACCTGTGTATACTTCATTTACAGGGCCACCATGATTTATAGTGGTGGTAATGTACAACTAAATCTACCTAACATTACATATCAACGAGTATCTCTCATTCTTTGAATAAATGCCACAAGAAGTGTCTCTCTTCTCTGAATGGCAGCTAACTTCCAGCATCTCAAAATTTAGTACTAAGACAAGACAGGATTATCATTTATAAGATCATAAAGCTGGATCTCCATAAGTTAACTCTGTTCTGCTACAACAATGCCTCGTGATTCTAAAGGAAGCAGTGACCATACACATCCCACTTAGGCTAATTACTGTCAGAGACTTTCTGAATGAATGATGGAAATCTAGTGACAGCACTAAACTACACTCCAGCTTATATATCCGGTATGTTAAACCCAGGTTTAATCACCTAAGATTCAACACGAGAACATAATTGTATTTTATACTCCTAAGTCCTAACAGATCTAATTCTACCAGATAAAGTCGGAAATTTTGGTACTGAACCTTGAAAGTCTACTAAGGGCTAACAAAGGATAGATCAAACTTGGGTTACTCTTTGAAACTTTAATAAGCTAAATCCTAATCCAAAAAGAAAATACTATGATTAATGCAACTGAATGGTAACTTCTTAACTATTCCTTCAATAAATGATCAAATTAATCAATGAGCCAAAATTAGAAACTAATTACATATTAAATACAATTTAAAACATTATTAGAGATCAAAATATCCGACAAAGACCATAAAAAACCATAAAAACTACCTTATGGAAAGTAATATTTCCATTACGGTCAGACGCCGCTGCCTCAAAAACCGTCATCAACTCTCGCACCCTATTAAACCAAATCCCATCACAAATTCTCTGCAGATTCTCAAAAACTGGCTCAAAAGCCAGCACCCTAAACCCCATTACTGCGGCGGCGAAACTTGCCATGCCCACATTGGCTCCAACGTCCACGACAAACGCATTTCTACTTCTCGCTTCAAGTAACTCCTGAATGGTGGCCGAGATGTCCGGCTTCCTAAAGGGCTTTCCCTTGAGCAGCCTGACAATGTTCTTGTGGGGCTTTTCAGGGAGAGAACCTAGGTCGGCAAGGGAATAGATAAATGGGTACTTGAGATTCTCCACCGTGTTGGCGATAATGGGGGCAGCTTGTCGAGAACTGTGGCAATCGAAGGGAGGAATTGGGAACTTGTGAGCTTGTTCACGGTGGATAGTGTTCACTGCAATTGAAGAGGAGGAAGTGGAGAGGTAGGTGAAGGTGACATAGAGGGAGAGGGTGAGGATTAAGAAGGAAACGAGGGGTTTTGATGAAAGTAGTCTTGCAGCTTTATTATTGTCTCGTCTCCAGGTATTTGCCATGGAAGAAATTATCTGAGGAAGAGTAGGATTTCGCGGAAAATTTTGGATTGTAGATCGGATCTGTAACGGACGGGGAGCTTGGAGTGGAAAGTATGAAATTTTCTGTCTTTTTTTCTTTTTTTTTTTTT